TTTGATATAAAAAAAAGTTAATATATGCTAAATTGTCTTGCCACCAGCTCACCAAAGCCAGGTCGTCCTTCTACCCCTACCAACCCTTCAAAATTTGCCAAAAAGTTTGGAGATGTGGAAAAATGTCCTCGTTGTGGAAAATCAGTGTATGCTGCAGAGAAGATAATAGGAGGAGGAAAGGTAAGAAATCTATGAAATATGTTATCCCAATACACAGTTACCATTAAAACACTTTGGCTGACAGCTATCACAAACCAAGAATAATTAACAAAAGTGTTGAGTGCTTCATATTCTCAGGAGATACAAGATTGAGATTCCAAGTCTACACAACACTAAAGAGAAGCCATATGTTGATATGCCAAGGATTATGCTGCAGAGACATATTTGTCTCCTTTATTTCACATTTTAAAATAACAGTTCATCCTGATTTTGCAGTTGATAGTACAATTCTGATCTGCTTGATGCAACAATAATTATTACTATGATTTTCATATCTATTCAGCATATCACATGTATTCTCTGAAGTCCAGATTAGTTTGTGAAAGATAAATTAAAGCCAGATAATTCTTCTCTTAATCTACCAATAGACTGCCAAACATAAACCTTGTTGCGCAAATACTTTATGTGAATTTATTCTTTTTTTGTCTTCGGTTTCAGCCTTGGCACAAGACCTGCTTCCGATGTGCTATTTGTGGGAAAAGTCTAGAATCTACAAATGTTACGGACAAAGATGGAGAGATTTATTGTAAAGGCAAGTGTAATATGTAAAATATAATTTCAGAGAAGCTTATTAGCATATAGACTCAGACTATGCATGTTGGATTTAGACAGAAAAAGTTTTTCAAAGAAGTATCTAATGAAACTTGATTCTTTCAAAGATTATGGTGAAGGATACATCCATACATCACTGATAGATTGATCATTTTCATAGCAAATTCAATGAAGAGCCAGTCTGGTCAGGGGATTAAGACATCAGGCTAGAAACTGGGGATTATGAGTTCTAGTTCTGCCTTAGGCTCAAAGTCAATTGGGTGACCTTTGGGCATTCGCTATTCTCAGTCCCAGGAAGGAGGCAAGAACTGAAAACTAAATTGACTAGTCACCAGGAATCAACAATGACTTGAAGACAAAAAAAAAAGTACAGTAAAATTTTAATTTCACAATTTTGGTTGTAAGAATTTTTTTTTAAAAAAAATGCTAGTTTGGAATTATGTTTAAATTTTCAAAGCATTTTACTGCCCTAAATATGAACCAGTAAAGGAGCAACATGGTTATTTAGGTTTAGGCATTTAGGCATATTTCAACATGGTCCTGTTTCCAAAGTTTTATAGAAAAGTTGGATTTTATGAAAGATTAATGTTTTATGTTGACAGGCTTATGAGAATAGCTAAATCTATCATTTCTTTCTTTGTTTTACAGTTTGCTACGCAAAGAATTTTGGCCCTAAAGGAATTGGATTTGGTGGCCTCACTCAAGTTGAGAAGGTGGAATAAGATGCCATGTTGATATCTCATTTAGGCTATCTAAATAAGTAACCATTAAAAGTTTAATTTCTTACACAGTGGTTATATTATATTGTGGGAAATCATTTTGGAAAAATAGCATTTCATTCCTGAGCAATAGAACTCCAGAACATTGAGATGTGGACTGTTCATAAATACCGGTAGTTTCTGAATCGAAATTCTGGTTATTTTATCAAGATAATTGCACAGATAATCTGACACTGTTTTTACACTTGTGCTAATTAAGCAAAACTCAATTCCTAGTCTTTATCATACATCATATGAAAATCAACCAAGTGAAGATGGCACATGAAATATAGGCATTGATAACATACTTTAATATGTGAATTTTGACTGACAGTGGCTTGCTGACGTTGATGGGAGAGAGAGATCTGATCTAACCTCTCTCTCTCTCACACACACACACACATACACAGAGGCAGGGGTGGGATTCAAATTTCTTAACAACTGGTTCTGTGGGCATGGCCCAATTTATCGGTGTGGCTTGGTGGTCATGACTGGCTGGGCATGGCCTGTATGTAAATATTATATTTATGTAAATATTGAAGCTTTTTTTATAAAAAAGAGCAACTTTTACCCCAAAGCAGGCAAAGCAGGCAGGCAGATTGAGTTGCTCACAGAATCACAGATTCATTCAGAGGTCTATCTTTCTGCCCTTGGCCACCTGAGTCTGCACTGAATAGAAGCTTCAGTACTAATCTAAAGATTAGCTAGAAAGCAAGAAATCCAATGGTTTCCTGCTTTCCAGCTAATCTAAATCTCCCGGCACAGCAGAACAGCTAATGGTTTGTGGGGGGGGAAGGAAAAATAGAAACTTAGCAGGCAAGTTTGCCAAGTATGGAGTGAGTGAGCGGGGAGAGTTCCCGCAGGCCATGTGGGCAGCGCAGACTTGTGTTCCTGCGCAGCCTGGATTAATTACTTTGTGGGGTGTTCTGGGGGTGACATTTCTCTGCAGCCCACCAAAATTTTCTCACAGACCACCAGTGGGCTGAGGCCCATGGTTGGCAAGCACTGCTATGTCTTTTTCCTAAATCACTTTGGGGGATTTGATCTAAGCATTGCATCGTCCTAATATATAGCTATATATCAGCAGAGAATTATCATAACTACCTATGAATTAAAAACTAAGTTTCATTACAGTAGCATATTTTGATATTTCAAATCATCTTTATTTTCTTTACTGAGTTTAAATTTTGAAGAATGGAGATAAATGAATCAGAGATAGATTTTCCTGCTTTATTTAAAAATAATCTTTTCTGCAGCTGAGGAAGCTTAACATTTCACAACTGTATTTTTCCAAATCCAAGTATTTCAAAGTATTATACACAAGCCATGGTTGCCATTGCATTTCCAGTTTGCTTCAGTTTAACCATGTAAACTTTTTTTTTCTGGAATAGCAATCAGACACATAACAAATAACAAAATAATTTGTAATATTCTTTACAATATTCTAAATATCTTTTTTGAAAACATCCAATAAATTCCAGATAGTCGATTACAGATTTTCGTCTTCACACTGGATGAATGTGTCGATCTTTTGCCAAATTAAACATTAAAGCATACTGCTTAGTCCAATCAATTACAGTGGGCTTGAGAATCCCAAAGCATCTACACTGAAAGAAGTCGGCGATGTTCTGGAAGAATCCAAGACTAGAAAAGAAAGAAAAGTCACACAGACTGAAAATAACCTTCATATTATTTTTTAAAATTTTTTATGCTGACAGGATCTTAATATCATGGAAGTATCCAAGAACTATTGATAAGTTTACAAATCAATTGCTTTCAAACAAGTACTATGTATACTAGTCATTTCCCACTGTTTGGATCAGTGGCACACTTGTAATTTGAGGCTACGTTTGTGGCTTGGTGATTTCCTACCAGAATGCCATGACAAAGAGGGAATTTCCTATTTACAATATTTTACCAAATACTCTTTTTTTTTTAGTAAGCAGTTTTGTGAAATTATGAAACAAATTAGAAATAGGTTTTGAGTTCAAAAGCACGGAAAACACTTTTTAAAAGACATACCTTTCTATTCTGACACTGAATTCATAGAATTCAAGAAAAAGTGAAGCTCAACAATAAGAAACTAGGTATATGACAGATACAGTGTTTGCTTCAAAATGCCAAACTGTGTTTGACTTTATACATGGGTTTTAAATTACAGGTAATTGTGAAAGACAGGGATCATTTTCCTTGTCAGGCTCCAAAAACCAAGAAACACTACAGAGTTACTTCTAAGCAGTTTCCTTTATTCCTTACCTATAGATAGAAATAGCAATTGCACTTAGACTTACATACCACTTCATAGTGCTTTCCAGCCCTCTCTAAGTGGTTTACAGAGTCAGCATATTGGCCCCAACAATCTAGGTCCTCATTTTACCAACCTTGGAAGAATGGAAGGCTGAGTCAACCGTGAGCAGCCGGCAGTCAGCAGAAGTAGCCTGCAGTACTGCACTCTAACCACTGCACCACTGGGGCTCATGCCAATCTTGCCAAACTAAAGCAACTACCTGCATTGTTAAAGATATACTCTGAGACTATGTAGAGAGTAACTATCTTGACCTTCTTTCTACCAACCAAACTATCTAAATTTGAATTTTAGCTGAAAACAGAGGAACATGAGTGACATGTAAGAGAATAACTAGGGTTCCATGCACGAATTACATTTGAAGGAAGTATATGCACCCCAATCATCTTTTTATTAGTGAATAATTTGATAATTATGTGGAGATGTTGCCTCATTCCCCTCTACATACCCAGAACATCTTAAACTCAATCTACAAACAATTGCCCTGAGCACTTTATTATTTATATGCAAGATACACAACAGCTCTTTATTGTTTTTTGGGGGGTGGGGTGGGGGGGGAGAGAATAGTTTTAGTAATGGTGGTTGCATATTTTAAAGCAATTATATTTTTTAAAGCAAGCCAAATTTAGCAACTCTGAGTACTTCAAACAGAAATGGTTATTGAATAGTGATACTTTCTAGATTGACTTACTTATATGGAGTCTTCCTAAGTGAAATAGGATGCTTGGAATATTTACTCTGCTTTAGGAGAGTAGCCCTTTCATGTGAAGTCAATCCAAGAAATGCAATCTGAAAATAAAAGAATTAAAAAGGAAAAAACTAACTGAATGCCAATTAATACTGTATATAAATAATATATTGACAAACGAAATATCAAAAGTACATGATATAATGTTTCTCCTTTTTAAACAAAGAAAAATAATAGTTTTTTCAGTTGAAAATGCACTGATAAATGAAAAACAGAGGAACGACACTAGCAAATCAATCTGTTAACAGAAGTTAAAAATATAAATTAATTGAAGTCTGTATCTGAAAGACTATATAATGCAATTTATCCTTTAATGATTATGCACTGCAATTATACTGGGACAAGAACGTTCTCTAACTAGGCTCTAATTCAAAATCCAAAATAAGCTGATATGGCTTTTGAGGTATTTTCATGTCCTGATATTCATTTACACATATGCACGAACATAAGGCACACAGACACATATATTTAAATGTATATATAAATAAATGTGTTTATGTGTATGGACATGTGTGAGTGTGTATGAATAAACCTTGCATTATTTACTTTCCTTTATCCCAATTACAAATTATTCAATTAAATCATTAATGACTTGGTAGCAAAATTAATGCATTTGTTTTGTTTTGCTTTGTTTTAAACTTTGGGTTTTTTTTAGAAAAAAACCACTGTGGTTACTATCTACTGTTATCTATTAGCTATTGGTGGAATAAATATCAAGCAGCATGAAAAAAGATCTCCCACATATAAAAGTATTTTGAGAGCTGCCTTTGTGCAGAACGACATTCTTTTTCTTTTTCTTTTTGAAAGGAAGAAAGTAATTAAATACTGGCTGAATTCTTGGCAACAGTAAATAGTAGACGTATCATAGGTCTACTTTAATATTTCTCAACTCAGCCAGCTGGGAATTCTGGGAACTGAAGTCCACACATCTTGAAGTTCCTAAAGTTGAAAAATACTGGTCTAGTTCTATGTAAATTCTGCAGCAAAAAAACCCAACACAGAATTCTATTCTGTCAAGGAAAGTTCATACTGTACTTCTCTTTCTGTACTGTTTTATGTTCTATAATAGCATATATGAGAGGTGGGGAGAGAAAGAAAGCAGCATAATTGTTTTACATTGTGACCCATATTAACAGCTATAGAAACTTTCCTCAATATATACTTCTTGACTAAAAGCAAGCAGACAGATGCATACCTTGGATAGCCAAAGTACCAGCCTCTATTGGCCACAGAACAAATAAAGAAGGCTGCATAATGCTCCTAATCATCTAATCCCAGAGGTTGCAGAAGATCTAGCATAGAAAAACTACAGGTAGTCCTCGAGTTACAACAGTTCATTTAGTGACCGTTTAAAGTTACAATGGCACTGACTTATGACTGTTTTTCACACTTTCAACCATTGTAGCATCCCCATGATCATGTGAGCAAAATTTAAAGTCTTGGCAACTGATTCATATTTATAATGGTTGTAAGTGTCCCACGATCACATGATCATCTTTTGTGACCTTCAGACAAGCCAAGTCAATGAGGAAGCTTAACAACTGTGTTATTAACTTAACAACTGTAGTGACTCATTTAATAACTGTGGCAAGAATGGGGTAAATTCACTTAACAAATGTTTCACTTAGCAACATACATTTTAGGCTCAACTGTGATCGTAAATTGAGGGCTACCTGTATACATAGCTGCCCAACAGAACAGTTTTCAGTTGAGAGTTACTCTTCGGGGCAGGATAAAGTCTTAATACCACATTTTTGGAAGTTTGATGACAAGATAGACAGATAAATGAAGTTCCTTCATGAGGACATGCTCTTTTCAAGAGTAAATCTTTGCCACACATTAGAAACAAACTGATAGTTCAACCATAAAATATTAATTTACCTATTGCAGGAAAATCCTAAATCTAGAAATGGTGCTATTAGGAATAAGCAATCATTGCAAGAGGATATTTTAAACTACAAAAGA